AATGGAGCTGTCTTTACAAGGTTGCAACCATCTAGACTATAGACTGTATTAATATCATACATCATTTTGGGGTTAAAAATAGGTTAAGAAATAAAATGGCTTACAAACCTAACTCCGTGAAGTTGAAGAAAACTGAAGACTTACTATTCTTTGTCCAAAGGTTGGAAAATAGGGTCTAGGAGTGTGGCTGAGTGGTACAGCACATGCCTCACATGTGTGAGATCCTGGGCTTGGTTCCTGGCACCATACTTTTAAAAAGAGTTTAAAAATAATCAGATGGGTTCATTTGCACTTCTGCTTTTCTTCTTTTCCTCTGGACTGGCAAACATCAGTAAATTTCCTCAGAAATGGTCATGGAAGAGATTCAATGTAGAAAATCTAGACTATGGGTATCTATACAAGAATGATAGAAGAAATCCCAATATTAAAATGTCCAGAGCTGGATGTAGTGGCACATGCCTGTGGGAATCAGAGACAGGAAGTTCAGAAGTATGAAGCCAGCCTGGGCTTTACAGCGAATTCAAGGCCAGCCTTTGCTACCTACTGAGACGCTGCACTGTCTTTAAAAGAAAAAAAAAGTCACAAGTGTGTTAATAAGAGTGTAGCCTCCAGGAACTACAGAGCTGGTTTCTTATGTTAGAGCAAAAGGTCAGGTAAGAGGTGACCAGTGGCTTCAGAAGCAGAGTAGCTTAGTGTTGTCTTGTCATTGGCCAATGAAGGAAGAGATTCAAGGTGAACTTTCCTAACTTGTCTCTAATAAGCTTACATCTATTATCTGTTATCCACAGGTTCATCTAAATAAACATTCTTAAGGTGGTTCTACTTAAGCCTCCATAAGTCTCTTAGGGTAGATGAAAACTTCTGGTCCTACTGGGATTCACTGGCCCATCTTTAAAAAAGTATTTAATTAAAAAAAAAAAAAGCCGGGTGGTGGTGGCGCATGCCTTTAATTCCAGCACTCGGGAGGCAGAGCCAGGCAGATCTCTGTGAGTTCGAGGCCAGCCTGGGCTACGGAGTGAGTTCCAGGAAAGGCGCAAAGCTACACAGAGAAACTCTGTCTCAAAAAACCAAGAAAAAAAAAGTATTTAATTAATATATTTATTTATACTGAAAATTCATACATTATATTTTGATCACAGTTTCCCCTTCCCCCTCTCCTCCAAGATTCTCCTCATCACCCCCTACCCACCTAACTCCTTTCTCTCTCTTTAGAAAACAAGCCAGAAAAAAAGCAAAAGATACTAGAAACACACACATAAACATGAAAGACAAAATTAGAAACTATAGTACACAAACAAAATTCCAGTGGAATAAAACATGCCAAACAAACCAATATGAGACAAAAAAAAAATCTACAAAAACACCAATGAGGGGCTGGAGAGATGGCTCTGGGGTTAAGAGCACTGGCTGCTCTTCCAGAGGTCCTGAGTTCAATTCCCAGCAACCACATGATGGCTCACAGGCAAATGAGATCTGGTGCCCTCGTCTGGCCTGCAGGCATACATGCAGGCAGAACACTATATACATGATAAATAAATAAATAAATCTTTAAAAAAAAAAAAACAATGAATTCATGTTGTGTTGGCCTTCTACTTCTGGGCATGGGGGCAGCCCTTAAGTGCGGTGTATATACCCCGTGAGGTTAGTTACTCTTTTGCAAATGGTTGTCAACTGGAGATAGCTTCTTGGTTAGGAATGGGTGTCATGTCCACTTCCCCTTCTCAGTTCGGGGACCCCATATGGCTCAAACCTGTGCAGGCCCTGTGCATACTGCTACGTTTTCTGTGATATCATGCATGTGTCAATTTTGTTGTGTTTGGAAGATACCGTTTCCTTGACATCATCCATCCCTTCTGTATTTATTTTTATTTATGTACATGTGTGTATTTGCGGGGGAGTAACCACAGAATCCACAGGGGAATTCACAGCTGGAACTGGAGTTATAGACAGGTGTGAACACCTGACGTGAGAGCTGGGAACCAAACTTGGGTTCTGGGCAACAACAGAAATATTCTTAACCACTGAGACATATCTCCAGGCCAACTGCCCCGCCTTTATTATTTGTTTGTTTGTTTGTTTGTTTGTTTGGTTTGGTTTTTCGAGTCAGGGTTTCTCCATGTAGTTTTGGTGCCTGTCCTGGATCTCACTCTGTAGACCAGGCTGGCCTCGAACTCACAGAGATCTGCCTGGCTCTGCCTCCCGAGTTCTGGAATTAAAGGCGTGCGCCACCACCGCCCAGCTATGCCCCACTTTTTAAATAGGAGATTCTGAAGTATACTCAAGAAACAATACATAACCTGATTCTAGGGAAAGGCAAAAAGGCAAAATCTACTAACAGAGGACCATTCTTGGAGTTGGAGAGCAACATAGCTTTATTTAGCACCCGTAAGACATTCTGAAATGCCTTATGCTCTTAGGGTTTTCTTTATAGCAAGTGAAGAGGGCAAATGGGAACAAAGGAACAGGAAGAGAAACAATAAAAGATATGAATGAAGCAGAAGAGTAAGGAAGAAAGAAGAGGATAACCCCAAAGTAGAGGAGCTTACAGACATGAAGGGAAGGAAGCACAGGCTAGAGAGATGGGGAGAAGCACTTGGGGTACAAGCATGAGGACCTGAGTTCGCATCTGCAGACGCCATGTGAGGCTGGGTGGACAACACAGGCATCTGCAAGCCCAGCACTCCTACAGGGAAACGGGCAGCAGAGGCAGGAGGCTCCCAGAACCCTCAGCCAGACAGTCCAGTGTACACAGGAGAAAAACAAGAGACCCATCTCAAGAAAGGTGCAAGGTGAGAATGGACATCTGAGGTTGTCCTCTGACCACCACACATGCACCCTAGCAAATGGGCACCTTCATACACACACACACACACACACACACACACACACACACACACACACGTATACACAAAGAGAGAGAGAGGAGAAAGAATTCAGAAGTCCTAACACAAACTAAGTTTTTCACAGTCTAATAAGTATTGAGCCATGGCCTCAAGACTAATCGCTATGCTTTGAGATGTTAGCTAGATGCTAAGTCTTTTTGGAAAACAGTCACTATCTGGTTATTTTACTGTTGTGTGATATTTTGTTTGTGTTCTGACAAATAAAGCTTGCCTGGAGATCAGAGGGCAGAGATAGCCACTAGTTAACCATAGAGGCCAGGCAGTGGTGGCACACACCTTTAAACCCAGCACTTGGGAGGAAGAAGTAGGAAGATCAGAAGTTCAAGACTACCCTGGGCTACACCAGATTGAACCATCTAAAAGAAAAACAGAGCCAGGCAGTGGTGGCTCATACCTTTAATCCTAGCACTAGGGAGGTGAAGACAGGAATCTAAGGTGGGTGAAGACAGGATCTCAGCCTCCCCGACCCCAATTCGGTCTGAGGATTCGTAGATTTTTCTCAGAGCTGGTACAAAATCTGTTACTAATAACACCTGACAAGGTTAGAGGGCATCAGCTCAAGGGATTACTTCTTCATGGTGGACTTTCATTCATGCAAGGTCATAGATAAAGGTCAGACCAAACCAAGTCGACCCAAACTAGGCAAAGAGTGTTTCCTACTCCACCAAGAGCTATGTTATTATGAATTATTGCATGGGGGGACCCCTGAGGGTGTCCCACAAGTACAGGCATGGCGGCAGTGGCAGTGGCCAGTAATTCACAACCCAGATGCGGCATCCATGTGGAGAGTTTATTATAATAGAGAGATGAAGAGAAAGATAAGAAAGAAACAGAGAGAAAGAGAGAGAGGAGAGAGAGGGTGTGCACCTCATGGAAGAAAGAGGAGGAGAGAGGAAGGGGAGGAGTGTTTCCTTAGAATGAGGCTTTTACCTCATGACACAGGGCAGCGCCATGGGGTGGAATTTCAAGGGGCAGATCAGAATATTAACATATGTGATCCAAATGTACAGATTTTTCTAAGCAAAGAGGTACACCCCTACATTGCTCTCTAGCGTTAATCTTCTTGATATACTCCCACAAATCTAGAGTACTGACTTAGAACCAGGAAATCCCCCTTTGCCCTGAAGTCCTTAGTCAACAATCTATATATCTTTGATCTTCTTAGCAATGTCTGCATACTATGCAATTGTTACAGCAACCATGAACTAGCTATGACCACTGCAAGCATTCAACATATTTATAAACCAAGACACAGAGAGGTTAAATAATCTGGCCAAGGTCTCACAGTAAGTGACATAGCCAATGTCAGAGCATGGAGTGCAGACTCCAAAACTCAGTCACTAGAGCCTCTTCTTCCTTCTTTCTGATGTCCTTGTGCTGCCCTCTCCTTAGCCTGGAGCATCTGTCTGTCCTGTAATGACATCTCTGTCTGTTCTTCAGAGTCTTCAAGAACACTGTCTCCCTGCAATGAAGTTATCTCATGGTCTTCTTCCCCCAAGTGATATGAACCAGAAATCTGCATTCCAGACAAAGGCTGCTCTCCCAAGCTGTTTTTCAAGCCAATGCTGACCACATGAGAAGTATTTGTTCTTATGAGGAGTACTGCCCAGTCTCTCCTCTTCACATTTGGGTTCTGCTTTAGTGTGCACAGCTGTAGAAGAAAGCTTGGAGATTCCCTGTCTAATTTATGTAGCACATAAGAGAATTTGCTCAAGCAAATACAAACCAGGTAGTTAAGAAAGCAGAAGTTCAGCTAGCTAAGAGAGAAGAGATCACTAACCCCAAGAGGGTATGCCAACTATATGGAGTCTTCATCCAAATGGTAACCCACACAAACATGTCTCAGAGAGTGGCAAGTACAGAGAACTCAGGTTTTGTCAAAGTGCTAAAATCTAAATGTGCATGAGGCTGTTAAGCAGAATTAACTCATAAAGTATTTGTATTCCTTAGCGAACTCTAGGTTGTAAAGTGACCTTCGTAAAGCCTTTCTGGCATAACTGAGATCATATTCTCTATCATTCCGAGAACCACCAATGCATGTGTGTTGCCAGAGAAACAAAGAGGATTTGCTAATGTGGACCTCCTTCTCCTTTCCAGATCCTGGCCATCGTGTCTATCCTGTTCATCGTACTCTCCACCATCGCTCTGTCTCTCAACACACTTCCGGAGCTGCAGGAAAATGATGAATTTGGGCAACCAAGCGACAACCGCAAGCTGGCACACGTAGAGGCTGTGTGCATCGCTTGGTTTACCATGGAGTACCTTTTACGATTTCTGTCCTCACCGAACAAATGGAAATTCTTTAAAGGCCCACTGAATGTCATTGACCTGCTGGCCATCTTACCATATTATGTCACCATCTTTCTCACCGAGTCCAACAAAAGTGTGCTGCAGTTCCAGAATGTGAGACGCGTGGTCCAGATCTTCCGAATCATGCGCATCCTCAGGATCCTGAAACTCGCCAGACACTCGACTGGCCTGCAGTCTCTGGGCTTCACCCTCAGACGAAGTTACAATGAGTTGGGCTTATTAATATTATTTCTGGCTATGGGCATAATGATATTTTCCAGCTTGGTGTTTTTTGCTGAGAAAGATGAAGATGCTACCAAATTCACCAGTATCCCTGCATCATTTTGGTGGGCCACCATCACCATGACCACTGTGGGCTATGGTGACATTTACCCTAAAACACTGTTAGGGAAAATTGTGGGTGGTCTCTGCTGTATTGCAGGAGTCCTGGTTATTGCCCTTCCTATACCCATCATTGTGAACAATTTCTCTGAATTCTATAAGGAGCAAAAACGCCAGGAGAAAGCTATTAAAAGGAGAGAGGCTCTTGAAAGAGCCAAAAGGAATGGCAGCATTGTTTCTATGAACTTAAAAGATGCCTTTGCTCGAAGTATGGAACTGATAGACGTGGCTGTGGAGAAGGCTGGAGAGTCAGCCAATACCAAGGACTCTGTGGATGATAATCACCTGTCTCCAAGCCGGTGGAAGTGGGCCAGGAAGGCTCTGTCGGAAACAAGCTCCAATAAGTCTTACGAGAATAAGTACCAGGAGGTTAGCCAGAAAGACTCCCACGAACAGCTGAACAACACTTCTTCCTCCAGCCCACAGCATCTGAGTGCCCAGAAACTGGAGATGCTCTACAACGAAATCACCAAGACACAGCCTCATTCCCACCCAACCCCAGACTGCCAAGAACAGCCCGAGAGGCCATCTGCGTATGAGGAGGAGATCGAAATGGAAGAGGTGGTCTGCGCACAGGAGCAGCTGGCGGTGGCACAGACCGAGGTCATCGTGGACATGAAGAGCACCTCCAGCATTGACAGCTTCACCAGCTGTGCCACTGACTTCACAGAGACAGAGAGATCCCCCCTGCCACCCCCCTCTGCCTCTCATTTGCAGATGAAGTTCCCCACTGACCTCCCAGGAACAGATGAGCACCAAAGAGTCAGGGCACTTCCATTTCTAACACTGAACAGAGACAAGGGGCCTGCTGCCAGGGAGGCTACACTGGATTATGCCCCAATTGATATAACTGTGAACCTCGACGCTGGGACTTCACATGGTCCTTTGCAGCCTGACAGTGCCACTGACAGCCCTAAGAGCTCCCTGAAAGGGAGCAACCCCCTCAAGTCCAGATCCCTCAAAGTGAACTTTCAGGAAAACAGAGGCAGTGCACCCCAGACCCCACCCAGCACAGCCAGGCCACTGCCAGTAACCACAGCTGACTTTCCGCTCACCACCCCTCAGCACATCAGTACCATCCTTCTAGAAGAAGCCCTTCCCCAGGGAGAGAGACCCTTGCTGGGTGCTGATGCTTCAGCACACTGTCAGGGATCTTCCAGAGGACTCTCCCCTCGATTTCCCAAGCAAAAACTGTTTCCTTTCTCTTCTAGAGAAAGAAGGAGCTTCACGGAAATAGACACTGGAGATGACGAAGACTTCTTGGACCTCCAAAGGTCAAGACCAGACAAGCAAGCAGACTCCAGCCCCAACTGCTTATCAGATAAGCCTGGAGATGCCAGAGACCCTTTAAGAGAAGAGGGCTGTGTGAGCTCCCCCTCCCCTCAGAACACAGACCACAACTGTAGGCAAGACATTTACCAGGCTGTGGGTGAAGCCAAAAAGGATAGTAGTCAAGAAGGGTACAAGATGGAGAACCACTTGTTTGCCCCAGAAATTCATTCCAACCCAGGAGACACGGGTTACTGTCCCACCCGTGAGACCAGCATGTGACTAGTTATAAAAGCAATAAAAAACTTCTTTCTTAAAAATGCGATTAATAATGCCGTGAACTAAAATATGGGAAACCCCTCACCCCCCCCAAAAAAAAACAGTGCATAAAATGTTATTTTTGCATGGCATGAACAGTTTAGTTTAAGTACTGTTTAAATAAAGAGTCAAGACTGCATTTTGTAACAAACGAAACTGAGTCAAGAGCAGCGAGCAAATAAAAAGCTGTATTAGGAACCAGTGCTCTGCAATGTCTGACATTTTTGATCCTTTCATTTCGAACTGCAGGCAGGTTTCCGGTCTTAACTTTTACATTGCCATGAATTTTAGGATTTGCACATGAAAGGATGAAATGTCATTGCATGTGTTCATGCTTATGGGGAGTAAGGTGCTTTGAGCTTGCAAAATGCATAACTCTGTACATAGGCCTGGATGCAGAAGTCTCAAGAACACGTGGACACGAGTTCCTGAGACACAGGTAATCCTTCACAGCTATTGCCTGGAGGAGCTGTCCAGACTTCCTGTTGCAAAACTGCAACCTCTTCTTAACCCACTTTCCTTGTGCATCTTGCTTTGGATTATAAAGCTCTTATGTTTGTTTAAAGGAATACAGTATTTTTATTTATTTGGGATATAATTCAGAGGGTATGTTTATATGTATTTTTATTTATTTGGAATAAAATTCAGAGGGCATTTTTTCTTTCTTTTGCTTTTGCTTAGTTGCATTTGTGGTGTCATTTACAAATCATGGAAATCAGTAAGATTTAACGACCAGATGTCAAGTACTTAGAATTTAAGCTTGAACTTTTGCCTACAAATTAAATACCATGTCACAGACTATTACAGAAACTCAGTTTTCATAAACTTGAAAATGTATAGAAGGTTCTATCATAAAATAAAAAATTTAAATAGTTATTCCACACTTGGAAATCATCTTTAAAACAATTTCTTTTGGCACTGCACACATGGCTGTATTTTCCTTTGGTGTCCAGCATACAAGTTAAGATCTGTTAAAATGGAAATTCCACAAAGTGACTGTTGGCAAACTGAAAGTAGAGCCCCCTTCCTTGACAGAGCTGGTCCCCAAATGAGGTGCCATGCTAGGAGCCCAGGTCTGGAGATGGACCACAAAATCCTTTTCAATGTAGGATAGAGATGTAGAATGACACTACCAGTCCTGGACGGATGCTGTTCTTGCAGACTTTGAATCCTTCCCAAGCAGGGCAAGAGCACTCTCAGTAACTGCAGCAACTGGACTGGCTCTCTCAGGTTTCCAAGCCCCCAGAACCCCCTAGAAGAGGTCAGGACTCTCCTTGCTGAGAGTCCCTTCTGGCACTTTCTTACAGAGCACACTGAATGCAAAGGCACTGGGCACTGGAGGTTGCCCACTCACTGGACTCATCTGCTTCGTGGAAACCGAGGCTCTCGTTACTGATGATCAGCTACCAGCCATGCGGTCTCCGGAATGACTCTACAACCTCTTGTGATCTCACTTGTATCGGAATAAAAACAAAGACCAAATTATTTCTAGGCCCCCTTAAGATCTCAAATGAATGATTTCTACTTTCCTGGCAATGCTCAGGTTTTGCCTCAGCAAAATGTATTTTGTGCGTGTGTGTATAGAGCTGAGAGAACTGGAAAAACTGATAGGACAAACTAAAAGCAAAGCTTATTGTTTAAGGAAAAAAATCTAAATTTTATTCTTTTTTAAAAGGAAATCCATTCAGGAAAGAATAGCCCAAATATTTATAATCTAATATTAAGTCTTTAATATTTCTTAATTAAGAGCCTCTGGTCATTAAATCTCAGATCAAAAAATAAATTGTGGTTTTTGTTAAAATCCAAGCAGTCCTGATGTTAAAACTAATTTAAGACATTTGTTTTATCCCGCTGTGCTTAGAATTTCTTAATGGTTTTCATGTTTGTTTCAAAACATAACCCTTGAGAGTTTATAGTCATTAATCATTAATATTTATATTATGCATACTTCTTTTAGTGTCTAAAGACTACATGTTGATCAGTTTTTGTAAATCTAGAGTATTTGAATTTTCTATATATAGTTTTTCAAAGTCAAGTAGGTATATCTATTGTTAGATGACTAGCAAATAAGTTACAAAGATCATTTTCTTCATACAGCTCATAAAGCAGTTATTTTCTAATGTCTCCAATTGATGAATCTCTATTTTTTTTATTCATCTGGCTTCATAAGTGGACTTACTGCCCTGCCAAATGACCAGTGTCCTACCCTCCGTGTGTCTGTCAGGCCTTCTACTGAGAGCCCTGTTCTATAACGCTTACCATGGGGACCCTTACCCAGTCCAAAAGTCTCTGGTGTTTTTCCTGGAAGCATTTTTCCTAAAAAGTCTCTCCCTGTCATTCTAAAGGTTTGCTAGGAAGGTTTCTGTTTGTTTTGTTTCTAAGTTTTAAAGAATTAAAAAAAAATCCCTTGGAAATCTCATCCTTTGAGTTCTCTTAGTTCCTCTGAACCAAAAGTCTTCAGCTAGGAGAAAAGAAAGAAAAACTTCCTCTAGGAAATCTTTGACTTTGCTGTTTCACATGGAGGTATCTCCCAGAATACACCTGTGAAGCCCTTCCAAACTTCAGCAAATGGTATCTAACTCAGAGAAGAATGTGTCTGTCTGGAAAGACCTGGAGACCTGGATACATACACCTATCAAGTGCAGAGTTCTTTTGAAGTCTTCTGTGTTCTACATTAAAAGTTCATGTCCATGCAGCAACTTACTCTATGATATATGTTTTAGTATTTTTTAATGATGTTTTATATTTCTCATCAACAGGAAAACTGAGTCTTATGACTTCAAATACCTCTTTTGTATCCCTTGAAAAACACCACCCAGGTTTAGAAAGGACTGCCTGAATGGGCTATTGGAAGGTTGCACTTCCAAGAGTTCATTTCATCGTTAGTTAGCTCAGCGATCAGGAATAAAGGCCAATGAAAAAGGCTATTTGAATGGCCTCAAAATAGTATGGTCCCTCAAATGGCTAAGATGTATCTGCTGGCTGTCTTAACCAGCACAAATTGCCCCAAGATGTTTTTATCTCAAAGATAATAGCATAGGAATGAGTGTGCATTGAGTACTGGGATGGAGATCAATGGTAAAAAACCTGCCTGGCACCATGACACCCTGGTTAATCCCCAACACTGCAGAAAACAAAAGAAAAAGGGAAGAAAGGAAGAAATTCCTTAAGGAGGTCCACAAGCGTATACCAAGTGGGTCCCTGAAATTGACTTAATTGTTCTCGAAATATTTCACTAGTAATTCCCTCACCCTGACACAGTCGACTGCCTTGAAGCAAGATGTGATCAAACACTATCATGATGAGACTAGATCTGGTACAAAGAGAGTATGTGCCCACTGTCTGACCCCATATTCTCTTGTTCATATTCTTATTTTCATGGTGGCCATGAAAATTTCACAATTTATTTTCTCTTGAAATTAGAAAGGAAGGAAAAAAGCTTAGGTATGTAGGCTACTTCACAGTTCTATCAATGTCTAAAATTATGTAAATAAACAGGAACCATATTGATAACATAAAGGTTTTTTTTAAAAAAGTAGCAAGAAAGTCTGTGAGGTAGTACAGGCCTGATAATTAATATGAACCAAGTTAGGCACTTATATTTGCCAGTTGGGAATTCTGGCCATAGTGTACATGTCCCTTAGCATAGGAGAAAGCCCCATTATTTACAATGTGACAGGGCACACACATGAGGGAGACTATGGAAAGCCACTTGCTCTTCCTAACCAAAAGCAGACAGAATTAAATTACCTCCAGTCTAAACTAAAACACATCACTTATTGAATTTAGTCACATTGTGCTGTTTACCCATTCAGATGATACTAGATGAACTCTCCCTCTTCCATGCCAATTACAGGAGCTGGGCAAAGGTACAGCTCTTAGCCTCATGGAGCTTCCCATCACTTTCAGCTATACCACCAATACAAAGGTGAAGATGCTTGGGGTTACTGCCCAAAGGTCACCTAACAGGCTGAAAAAAATCACCCAATGATCCCATCAGAGAACTATAGAACATAAATAAATTATATCACTTTCCCAAAGAACATTTTCCTAAGAAAGAGATGAATTGTATAAAGTCTAATTTATAATTAAGTTTGAATCATGTTTAGTTTTCATATTTGAAATGACAAGTTGTTGATCTGATTGAGTGAGATTGTGAACTACCTTTGCTATCTGGTAAATGAAAAATATAATTTTATGCTTGGGAATGTACCTCCGTGGTAGAGCACTTGCCGCATAAGGCCCTGGATTCTATCCCCAGTACCAGAAAAAAAGAAAAGAAAAGAAAAAGATTTTAATTAGATATATTTCTTATCAAAATAGTTAATAATAGTCTGTCACAAGTAACTAGAGCAAAATTTAATACCAGTGGGAAAGGATTGAAAAATCTTACATTTCTGAATAAATTTTAAAAGGGAGCATTTTAAGTGCTTTTCTTCCTGCAGTCTTTTGGCAGCATTACAGGACTATAACATTATTCTCTACTTAATCCTCTAAATTCTTAGCATTTAAAAGTCAACACCCCTGGCTTGACTCCAAGAATCTGATCACTAGGTCCACGGAGATTTGAAAGTGTATCGATTACTTTGCCATTGCAATGTCTTCCTCAAAGTTTCACAAAAAATAAATAAACAAAAAGGAAATAACAGAAAACACACAAGAGAAAAGAGAAACAGGTTTGGCAGCACATGGCTTTATTATTGGGAGGTTGAGATGGGAAGATTCTGAGTTAGGGCACAGCTGTGGCTACATAGTGAATTTCAGACTAGCCTGGCTAATCTAGGAAGACCCTATCCCAAAAGGAGGGGGAAGAAGAGGAGGAAGAGCAGCAGCAGCAGCAGCAGCCAGACGTGGTGGTGTACACAGGAGTCTCTACACTCATGAGGCGAGAGGCAGGCTAATCTTGAGTTCAAGGCCAGCCTGGTCTACATATCAAATTCCAGTCCAGCCAGAGCTACACAGTGAGATACTGTCTTTAAAAAGAAAAAGAGAAGGAGAGCGGGGGGAGAAAATAAAAAGAAACTGTGAAATGAAAACATTCAAAGGCCAGTTTCTGCTAAGAAGAGGAAGGCCTCAACTCAACAGTTCTTGTGAACAGCCTGTACACATTCTAGTTAACACTGTGATTTGCTGCAATCCTTGGGTGGTTTCAACAGTCATTTCTCCCACTTACCTTTGTAAAATTACCTAATTAAATTCCATGAATCCTTACTTACCGCTGTCATTAACATGCATTACCTCCCTTAGTAAGTCTAAAAGGTTATTTTATAGAGGAAAAAAAAAAAAAAATATATATATATATATATATATATATATATATATAGAGAGAGAGAGAGAGAGAGAAAGGTATAATAATAAGTCATTTCAAAATCAGAAAAATACAAAAATACAGAAGATTTTTTAAAATATAATTAGTGTATTCTTAATTTGTCATATACACACCTGCATAAATGTTGTACTTATATGAATATACATGTATGAAATTTAGATACTTGATACATGAAGAAGAGAATAGAATTAGTCCATAATTTTAACTTCACTTTCTCTCCTAAAGAAGTTATTTCTTATCATCAAACAATTCTAGATTACTGTTGATACATAACAAAACTTTCCTGAGCATCTTTAATTGCCTAAAATTAACAAACACGTACAGTCCATGCCCTCCAGTTTACAGCTTAGCAGATGATTCATGTTTAGGTGATTGTGTTCCCACATGAAATCCAGTTTCACAGAGTGGGCTAGTCTGTTGTCTGAGATCTCCAAAGTCCTTTTCTGTCCCTTAGACTCAAGGTGTTTATTTTCATCCTTTAATCTAGTATCTGAATTCTACCAGGTAACTCCTAAACATTCTGGCTTAAAATTACAATAGCTGCCTGAAATTAGTGACAGTGTATGAAGATATTTCCACTTCAAAAAAGAAAAAGAAAGATGAATGAAAAAAATTTATAGACAAAATCATGTTTATTAATAAAAATGACTTTAAAAAAATAGGAACTCTCTCTAAGTAGCCCAGGTTGGTCTCAGGATCACAGTCCTCCTATCTTGGCTACCTATGAAGTGGTCATTTTTAACTGTTCTGTTTCACATTTTCGACCCTAGCCTCTATTTAAGCCAAAACAACATCCTGCTTGGTAAAAGCCTACTGCTGGTCTGAGTCTATTCACAATGGAACCTGCTGACAAAGATATGACTGGATAGTTTTTCTTATAATTATTTTACATGTTACTGAATCTGAAACAGATTGAGGTGGCATGTCAAGTCAAAACAACAGCCTTTCAGAATGAAGACACAGAACACCGACAGCCCGAGGTGAAGGTGCAAAGGTATATCATAATCCCCACCCTTTTGCTGTTCTTCTCTGCCTTAAATGCCTTCTAGGGTTCAATGCAAGAAAAGGTGGATTCTTTGAGAATTTGCACATAGATGTAATGGTCAAGGTCAACCCTATTCCTGTCCCCTCGACCCCTCCTCTAGATCCCCAGCATTATTCCTTCCCAACTCCAGATGTTCTGCAAAGGGTAGGATCCTATTTGCACAAAAAAGGTAGTTGGTAACCAGGAGCAAGGACAAATTCTCTACCATTTATTATGTCCATGTCCCCTGCATGTAGTCAGAAATAGCTAGGTTCCAGGCATTTCTGTGATCACATCTCCTTTTGCTTTTTTATTGTCCCTTTGTGTTTGCTACCTTCTGAACTAAACTTCCAGGGAACCTCGACTACTGCCTATAAAACACAGCACTTGGGAGGCAGAGCCAGGCGGATCTCTGTGAGTTCGAGGCCAGCCTGGTCTCCAAAGCGAGTTCCAGGAAAGGCGCAAAGCTACACAGAGAAACCCTGTCTCGAAAAACCAAAAAAAAAAAAAAAAAAAAAAAAAAAAAAAAAAAAAACCACACACACACACACACACACACACACACACACACACACACACACCAACAAGTTTTGCTAAATCTTGATCAGTGCTCTAGATATGCACTGTAGATGCACAGTGTGTGCCACTTTGACATTCTTGCCACTATGGGAAGCTAGACAAGAACTCAAAATGGGGGGGGGGGGCGCATTTACGAGTCACGTTGTAAAGACAATGCTGTCTTGTTGGTCTGCTCAACACCTACTACTCGGATAGCTTCTACTTGGAGACTCTGACCAGAGTGTGGTACAGCCGCTGGCTTGACCCTGATTGAGAAAGGAATGTCTTCTAAATTTCCCATAAACATCGGTTTGTGCTGGCCAGAAAGTCTACTGTAGCCAAATTGCTCACCCATCCTTAAGGCAAAATGCAGCCAGCATTTTTATTTGCAGCGTATGGGCTAGGCTTTTTTTTTTTTTTTTGCCTGCAAGTTTTATATAAATCACTATATTTGACTAAAATTGGGAGTATTCTTTAAGAAAAACAGATATTAAAAAAGCAATATTATTAGTATTAACCCAAATTACTTGCTCAACGGGAATGCTGTCACCAGAGATAATTAATAAAAATGTATATACTAATAAAATTTCGGTGAAGAATTACCAAAATTCTTTGTTTTCAGCTCAAAAATCAAAGAAAGAAAAAAGAAAAATCTGCAACTCACAAAATATTAGGTTTATCACCCAATTATCAAGTTCCAAGCTTATGCAATTTTAAAGAGTTATATATTAAACCATAAAAAATTCAAAAGTGAATGTGTAGAAAAGGTCTGCTAAACAAATGTGGGGTTCCATTAGCAAGCTGAAGCATTTTAACAGCCTTTAATTTAGCTACAGAATAGCCGTGTGTGTTCTTAGCACCTTACTTTCAATGGAATATTTTATTTTCTACTGTTGCTTATATGTTGTTTGCTTGCTTGTTGTGTTTTGTTTGAAGAAGGGAGTATTCATAGAAAAAAAAGGAGTGTTTAAAGGAAGAAATTATTGGGCAACTTATTATTACCGATTATACCTGGAGTAGGTTGGAAACTAAGTGGCCTTCGCTGTGCTGTTCCTCCCCCCACTCCCCTTTCCAGGCTTCACTGTCCTGGTTTGAATGGACAGTCCTGTGATCATATCTCACATCCTTCTCCCTCCGATTTTTCATTCCTCTCCTCTCTATAGTACATGCCAGGAATCCTGCCCTAGGGCCCACCTGCTTAGAGTGCAAAGGTACCTAAGTCACGAGCAGGAGCAAGTGGGCCATTAGCAATAACAACTTGAAGCCTAAAGCCAGGAGGGAATCAGAAAACTCAGAGGCCAAAGGTACACTGTCCCAGCATAGAAAAGCAACATGATTTGACATCGTTCTTTCCCTATGAGTGACCAAAACTACAGTTCAGGCAGTGGCACTGTGGGTCAAGCCCAGGCTAGCCCTCCTTCTATATGTGCTCTATGGCTGAGCTGCACTCATTGACCAAACACGGTGAATTTAAGTTTCTACCAAGCTGTAAAACTTGAAAGGAAATAGCAGGTTTTTTGAAAAAGATGGGACCAAATTCATTAATGTATTCCAAGGCGATCATCTCAAATGCAAGCCTTTCTACTAAATGTGTGTGACACTCATGAGTGTGTCTGTTTTCAGGGCAATATCCCAAAAGGAAGATACCATTATCATCTTTTCAATTTTCTATAGTAACAGAATTTCAGTTGGAGAAAATTGACATTCAGGTGAATTTTCATATAGTTAGGGGACAAAATTCTAATAGCCATTCAAACAAACCTTAACAAAAGATGAGGGTGGAAAGAAAGCCATACTGAAAAGCTCATACTTTTTCATCCATCTAATTATAAACAATTCATATTTGGATTGGGATTTTAAATTTTTCTTTTATGTAAAAAGTGTCTTAAGATTACCATGTGAAATATATACTACTTATTTTATTAGAAATATGTAGATTTTTTAAAAGACTATTATAACTTAAATAAGATGGAATATAGGAAAATGCTGGACAAATAAAAGATACGTGTCTTAAAACAAGAACTCCAAAGGAAGTGGTTCAAGTCACATTTGTGTCCTCAATACCGAGTTCTCAAATTCTTCTGTAGCTTCCTGAACAGCCAAAAATTTTAATGTGTGTTTAAGTAAAACCTACTGTTATATAAAATATAGGTCATTTCATTTGCTAAGTTATATACCTATTAGGTACTCTATGTGGCTTTCAAGAATGATATTATTTTAACAGATAACATGCTTGGAAACTAGTAGTACATTTTCAACCTAATTGCCTTAAATTTTTAGTGTTCAGTTTGTGAGTCTCAATTTCTTCTTGGAAAACAGCTTCCTACAATATTTCAATACGCAGTCTGTTTGGAGAGTATTTTGTGTTTTTCTGTTACTACAAATTTAAGCTGCATCATCATCATCATGGGAACATTCAGCATGGTAGTCCATCTTCCCACTTCAAATGTTCGCAAACCTGTGGACCCATTTCATAAAGGGATTCACAGTCAATTTGGTTCCACTGTTACAATAACCCTTTGCCAACTATATTTTGAGTACAAAGGCTTTGTCACTTAACATATTTTTTCCTCATTAAATTTTTTTGCCTTGAAAAATCTATAGTATGAATTGTCATCAGTAGACTTCATTGGAGGCTTTTGTGTTACTTTATTTTAATGTTAATCTTTCTGATAAAGGGGGGCTAATTTTTGTGTCAGTGTATTTAAAATTCGGAGTTATGAAATGGAGATGAACCCCCATATCTTGTGATGATAAGTGATGACCAGGGGGACGCCAAACAAGACAACACCCTGCACTCTCAGTCTGGACACAATGCAGCAACTCCAGGCAGGGCAGGTTGACCCCTGTGGAAACAGAGTGTGGCAGCTCTGATATTAAAGACAAGCTAAACTGGGGGTTCTTCTATTGACTCTACAAAAGAATTTCCAAGATACATTAAAACTTTCTTCTAAGAGGATCTAGTAGCCATCACTGGAAAAATAAAAACCATACTTTAATTTTAATGAATTTTCATTTGTTTAATTGGCTTGGGATGATTATTTTGAAGATGTTTGGTTGGGTGTGGTTTTGAGGAGAAGGCAGCTCTTTGTGGGGGTGGCTTAGTAATTTTATGAAAACCTTAGTATAACACATTACTTGGTTTGGACTTTCAATTCATTATAACGCTTAAAAAATAATTCGTGTTCTAAGTCATAATTGCATGACAATTTAGCTCCTATTATATTTAGTTATAGCCTAATGGAGACTGTATCCCTGTTTTCTCAAAACAATAAAGTTCCTAGTTTATTAAATAGAATTCTGACAGAAAATTATGCCGCCCAATCAGCTTTAAGTGTACTGATACCTGTCTCCGTGTAATTTGTACAACACTTCCGTGTTGACGGTCATGTGTCTCCTGCATTCCGAAGCTGCCACTATGTCCTTTCATCTTACTATGACAACACTCAACCGCCGCTGCGGTGTCGCGCGCGCGCACAGGCCGTGATGCAAACACGCCTGTGAACTGCTCAGTCAGCGTCTCGTCCACGAAGCCTGAGGCAAAGCAACAGCCCTGTAGTCCAAAAGGCGCACTGTGCAGATCATCTTCGTCCCAGCATTCTTTACCACAAATGCTGAAGCAGTGTTTTTCAGTGCTTTTTAGACTTGTAATAAAAATCTCTGTGTCATATCTACATAGCCGTATATCAAGTAATTCAGTTTTAAAGTGTTGCCTACTGACAAACTAAAGAAAAATATCTACTCATTTTCCCATGTAATTACTCAAATTCTCTTCTGTTACAATATAGGCCTGTCTCAAATGGTGTCTCTCATCACTATTACATATAAAATAGGAGGAGGGTACTGTGATGAGATTTTACCTGCCTAACAGTAGCTGTTAAAAACTAGTCAAAGACTGTACTAGCCTCAGAAGTGATTCATCTATTGCACTCTAATATTCCAAAATACTGGATGTGAGCACACTCGGTGTTGGATGAGTGTATAGTGCATGCAAGGCTGTGGGCTCAAACCCTGGCATCAGGAAACTAACAAACAAAAATTTGGATATCTGCAAAATTAACGATTATGGACACTGAGGTTCCAGTATTTAGGGAAAGGGGGAGGGGAGTAAAAAGGGAAAGGAGGAATGAAAGAAAATGGAGGAGAGGAAAAAAGCAGTACCAACAAAGGAAGTATCAAATGGGGGAGTTAATGCTTGTAGCGTATGTTTATGGGGAAGTGGCGGGCTTTGCGAGCTGTGCACACACAGGCACTCATGTGTTTAGGATCAGAAAGGGATCCTAAATTATCTACTGGGTTTTCCCCCTGTGGTTTACTAAAGTCATGTTTTTCCTTTTTAATTGTCTAACTTGCAAAAGGCATTAATACAAAATTTAATGTTAGAATTATAAGCTTATTGTTAAACTCAGGACAATTCTGTAAAGATTCATATTAATTTTCTGAAAATTTGTGATGAAGGTATTTAGTACTGTCAGAAATTAATGCATTCAAAAAAGCCTTGTTGGGGGTAATCCTGGACGATTTCTCTATAAAACATATTACTATACAACCTGTCCTTTTTCTCTCAAGTTATAGAGGCTTTAATTATTGTAATGAAGTCCCTAAACATCCCCCAGGTTACAAATACTCAAAACTATTTTTTAAATCTAGGGAGTAAAGTATCAGAAATTAAATACTAAGTGAGTAGTTCCTTAAATGCTTCTCCACATATATATTCAGTAAACCAGCTTCCTATCTTGGAGCTGTACACGGCATTAGGTTTGTAGCTACAGTGCATGGTACATCATCCCTTTTATTAACTTCAGTGTCTTAGAGGGTTGTCACA